AACTACACAGGATATTTTCTTCATTTAGTGTCTGCTCTGAATATGTTTCCATGTAATGATGATTTTTGGATAACTTTTAATAACACTTACTAATATAACTTGTAGAGTGGAAGACACAAACTGCTCTTCCTAGAGGACCTGAGTTTGGATCCCAACACACATGTCAGATGGCTCACAAGCTGCCTATGCTTCGAGCTTCAGGAGATCTGATGCCCTCTTCTGGCCTTCATGGGCACCTGCACTCACATGCACATACCCAGCACAGACATGCAGGCTTTCACATAACTAAAACTTTAAAAATATCTTTTTAAAATAACATGTTAAACTGTGACAACATATTGAACTATTCCTCCCATCTTGGAGCAACTTACATGGAGTTCTGAGAATATTCATTTCCCTTTGTCTTTCTGATGTCCTTAAGAAACAGTAGCATACACACATAAAACAAACCAAATAAGAACTTGACCTTTTCTATTACTGTGTGAAAGTGACATGGCTTCATTTTGATATTCAATTATTTTACCATGTTTGAATAAAAAAGTAATAAAGCTCTTAAAAATATTTTTCACATTACTCATATTCAGTAAACCTCTCCCCCAACTGATTAAGTCCTCATTTGTCCCATGCCTCAATTTCTAACTCAACAAATTTGGCAGAACATTAACTTTATATTTTACAATATATCAAACCACTAAAAACTGTTTTGAGCCTCTGTTTTAGTCTTTCATGTTATTCAATAAATATTATGCATATATTTATTATATTTTTATATTTAGTACATTTATTATTCCAACAATTTATTATTGTGTGTGTTATGGGGGGTAGGGCACATGTGTCACAGTGTACATAGAGGCGAGAGTAGTAGATTGTGGAGTAGATTCTCTCCTAGCTTTACGTGGGTCCTAGCGAATTGAATTTAGGTGGACAGGCTTACACAGAAACTGCCTTTACTCACTGAGCCATTTCACTGACTCCCAATAAGCAATACTTACAAAAACCAAATAAAGAGGTCTGGAGCGTGGCTCAGCAGTTAAGAGCACTGGCTTCTCTTCCAGAAGACCTGGGTTTGATTCCCAACACCTACATGCTGGCTCACAACCATCTGTAACTCCAGTTCCAGAAGATCTGACACCCTCTTCTGGTTTTTGCTGGCACCGGGCTCACACATGGTGCACAGACATACATGCAGACAAAATGCTCATACATATAAAATATAAAAATAAAGAATTACAGCTTAATGGACAGTTTAGTTTGCCATATAGCAAAAACTACAATTAAATGTATTTGTCTATAATGGAATTGAGTGAAACATATGTAGAGAATCCCTCTGTTGTTGCTGGCTGAGAGTGAGGATAAATTCTATTGTTGTTGTTGTTGTTATAGTAGTATTTTCATAAAGCTGTTTTCCAGTTAATGGTCCAAGGTATTACACATAAGAGTGGGAAAATTGTAACTATCAGTGCAATTTTGCCCATCTATAAATTCTAGAAATTTCTACCGCTGTGGTCTATCTCTCTATAGATCCATCTCTCTGTTCCTCCCCATCTCCACAAACCACACCCCCATACACCTGTCTAATTTACCTCTCTTGTCACTAAGAGGTGGTTATTAATATAAATTAGTGAGGACTCTAGTTTTGCCTCAGAGAGCTAAAGTAGATGGTGCCTTGGGTTTCCTCTTATTACCAAATATTGTCTGGAAGGACCGCCCCCCCCCCCCCCCCCGCTGAGTTAGAAACGCACTAGGAAAGTCATTTTCAAGGGGGCTGCGATCACATGCCTCTGTTCCCTCCTAAACTCAACCCTTAGCTTCCTCATGAACCCCACTTTCCTCCCGACTTACTCCCCCCAGAGGCCAGGCAGCCTGACTGTGATCCCCCTAAGCCCTGGAATGCCCCTTGTGACACTAAACTTGACATCATAAAGAGAGTGTATCATCTGGCCTCCAAGTAACCACCATGTTGTAAAAACTAAGACCAAGGACTGAAGGTGTGTGGAGTATGCCTTTGTGTTTCCCTAATCCTGTGAGCAGGAAGGAAGGAGGTGGTGTGCACAAGTCAAATTTGAACAACTACACTCAAGACCATGATGGCCATGCAAGACATGAAATCTAAATCTACCAAAGAGGGAAGTACAATATGAATTTGCCTTTGCTTAAGTAGGTGGGAGTCAAGAGGCGAGATTTTGTCTAAGCATTTTTTTAGTACTGATTTATCATTGAACCCTAAACAACGTAAACTAGGAGAGACACATAGAGACTTCCAAAGGGGTACGTTCCTTCCAGGATACAGAAAACATAAATGTCTTTCATCTTTTTTTGGCATTGATTTTTTTTTTCCCTGTCAAGTTTTGTTAGTGCTCTATTTTGAGGGATGATTTTTTTCTTTCTTTTTTTCCCTTCTTCTTTTTATTTTATTTTATTTTTTACAAACTTATGCAATCTTCAGTTTCAAAGCCCAGGCGTTTCACCTTTAACCCCCTGTTCTCTTTCCTTCCCTTTGAAAGGAGTGTTCAGGAGCCGCATGCTGACTCTGTGTGGTTTTTAAGTAGCTGGTTGAACTCTGAAGCTTTTAACTTCATGCCTTTCTCTTCCATTTTATAAATGTTTGCCGGTTTTGCTTATGTGTGTCCTGATGCTTTAATTCTAGAGTGAATGTACATAGTTTAAAGAATCAAATAGTAAAATCATTGAAGTCTTGCCTACCTCCTCTAATTCCCAAGTTTTAGATGTAACAACTTTTGCTCATTTAAAACTCAATGTTACACATGTTTTAGACACTTTTTTTGTTGGTTTGGTTTGGTTTGGTTTTGGTTTTTGAAGACAGGGTTTCTCTGTGTTGCCCTGGCCGTTTCTGGATCTCACCCTGTAGACCTCGAACTCACAGAGATCCGCCTGCCCCTGCCTCCCGAGTGCTGGGATTAAAAGCATGTGCCACCACTGCCTGGCTTGTTTCAGACACTTTTAAAGGTAGTTAAGGAATTGCAAGTAATGTAAAGACCCCCATGTCATCTTTTTTGATTAGTACACCTCCCACCTTCCTCAGAGGTAATCCTTAACCTGAGTTTTTACATATGCCTCAATACAAAAATACTAAACCATGCTTCAGACCTAAAACTACACTGTTAAAACAATATTCAAAATGGTGCAACCTTTATTCTGGGGACTGAAAGTGGAACTTGGGAGGCCAGGCTATTGTTACATCTTAAGACAGGTTAGCAGCTGAACCTTTGAATTGACTGCGGACTATCCCTTCCCTACTGTGAGAGCTGACCCAACGAAAAAGATCCTTAACAACCGCACCCTCTGCACAAGGGCCCAGATCCTCCCCATCCCCCAGATCACACAGACAGACTGTGTCTGGCCCTTCTCTTATCAAACAGCTCGACTTCAGCCAGCACCCATCACAGTTGTTAACAAATGGTTTCCTTCCAACTTCTTTGCAGTTTAACGCTTAGGCACAGCCACCAGTTAGGAAGCCTCTGCACGCACACTGCCAGATGTTGCCTCGTGTGTGACCTTCCTCTTTGACTCTAGTCTTTCGACATTTCTGTTACTACGTATTGGAGCTTCTCAATACCTATCCAGATACCTCTCTCTCATCACCCATTTCTCTGTGTTCTTGTCTGTGGGGGAAGTCCTTACACGTCACCTGCTTCACAAGACCTTCGTTCAATCCATGAAGATTATTTCTTTATTCCAGTTCCAATGTCATTCTTCCAAGCTTCCAAAAAAATTTGCATCCACTTCTTCTTCTTAGAATTTCAGTAAGTTCTTGTATGTCTTGGAGCAGCCTAACTGACACCAAACAATAGGTTCTCATCTTGGTTGAGTGCAAAGTCCCCAACGAGCACAGCTAAGAAAGAGTGAGGAGTGATTTCTTCCTTGCAGTAGATAAAGGCAATGTAGAAGGTCTGTATGCACCGATACCCTCTCAAGGCTTGGTCCCTGGTTATGAGCTATGTGAATGTCCCTTCTTGTTAGTCAGTACCTTCTTCCAAGGAGGAGGGACCCTTAACACAAGGCTAACCTCTGTCACTGAGCCCAACCTGGACCCTTGATCTCCTAAGCACTCATAGTCCCACTTACTTCTAGGAGCTGGACTCTCACTGCTGTGTTATCACCGGACACAGAGCCAGCAACCCATAGCTTCACCCGGACTCACCTGTTTATATTTCTCTTCTATTTTTTTATAACTGTATCCATATCTAGTTTCTTTCTTCTTTCTTTCTTTGCACTAGTATCTTAATTTTTATTTTGCCCAATTTTAGAAGCCAGGGAACACAACAGTGTGAACTGCATCACCTTGATTGAAAGTAAAAAGTCATTTCTTGGGGCCTGAGAGCTGGCTCAGTGGTTAAGAGCACTTGTTGCAGCCGGGCAGTGGTGGGTGGCCCATGTCTTTAATCTCAGCACTCAGGAAGCAGAGGCAGGCAGATCTCTGTGAGTTCGAGGCCAACCTGGTCTACAAAGTGAGTTCCAGGACAGGCTCCAAAGCTACACAGAGAAACTCTGTCTCAACAAACAAACAAACAGCACCTGTGGCTCTTGTAGAGTACCTGGATTTAATTCCCAACACCCACACGGTAATTCCTAACACCCATAACTTGGGTTCCAGGGGATCTGCTGCCCTCTTCTGACCTCCATAGACACCAGGCATGCATGTGGTGTACATACATACAAGCAAAACATAATTATATATAATCATATATATTTCTAGAGATAACACTCAGTTATCACAAGGGTTTCCTGAAACAATTTTGGGTTTTCTTCTGTGGGTTTTGTTTTGTAGTGACGATTTTTAAAAATGTATAGCTTTTAAAATTGAAAGAGAAAGGTTGGTAATTGTATCTTTTATTCTTTGAAGACTTATCATAGTCTGCTTTTCTACACTTATAATGTGGTTTTTATAGTCAGAACAGCACGTACCCATGTAATACACATTTGGAGGCTCGCGTGGACCTATCAGTGACGCTTTGCTCTCTGTTGACATTTCTGTGCAGGTGTCCCCTCTAGCACACATGTGCAGTGACACCAATAAGATGGTATTAATTAACCCCCAGGGAGTCAAACTCAATATCTACAAGCAAAATGTGGAGCAGGCCATTAAATCCTATGAAAAGTGAGTATGCTTCCCAAATGCTCCTGATAGATAATCTGGTTTGGCTTCTTTTCTCTTGTGTTGGCTTAGATTGCTTCATCCGAAACAGCAACTTTTCAAATGACCCAGTATCAATACAAAGCGACAACCCATGCGTGGTCCTCCCGGGTGCTTGGGTAGGCTTCTGAGCTGATCTTTCCAACAATTTTACATAAACCAACTTCCCATCCTCAGCGCTGTAGAAATCTTGTGTTTCCAGGAAACCTTCAAAGTTTTCCTCTTAATGCAGTGAATTTGATCACACTGGCACCTAACACTCTGAAGGATAACTAACAGATGCCACTGCAGAGGCACAGCCACTTCTCCTGCTCAGCCCCCTTCCCCCTCCCCCAAACGAAAATAATCAGGAAAGCAAACTGTCTGACCTGGACTTGGGCAGATTTTGCTTTCTTGTCACATTCTCCAAATACAAAACCAGTGTGCACACAGAATTTACACGATCTTGGGTATTATGAAAACTCCACAAGTGATTTTCAGTATGTGGGAGGGTATGCCTTGGTTACATGCAAATGCAATAGCTTTTGACATACAGGAACTGAGTGTCCATGACCCTGATAAATCTGTAGCCATTAAAGGGGCTACCAGTCCCCCATGAACACTGAGGGGTAACTCTATAAACATAGATTATGGTTTACATGTTTTTGTATCAAGATGATGATTATGTTGACTACAGAGAGAATTCTACACTCAGACAGTTCAAAAGGTGGAGCCTTTCCTCCGGGACAGGTGGCCTGGCTGTCACCCTTGCCCATGACCTACACACCTGCCTAGAACTAGACCTTAGTGTACACACTTAAGGGACCTCTGAAGGTGCCCAGCTTCTTTGGGAAGCTTACTCCAGATTCCGGAAGCTCCGCAGTTGGGTTTTAGTTACCGACATGTGAGATGTGAGAAGGATAAGTAATAAAGCATATAGAGGTTAGTGATGTGGTCAGGCCCCTGCTGACCCAGCCATCACAACTCAGTGTGGAGTGGGCCTAATGTGTACTCAGAGCCCAACTCCTGCCCACAGGGAGCCACAGCTAATCCACAGAAAGGTCTTTTCCCACCCCTGCATGGCTCTCCAATCTTCTTCACATCAGTCTCCTTCCCCGCCCTCCTGTAAGGACTGGACACCCCCTCATGTGAGCCCTGTCAGTGGTCTGTATAGGTCGTCAGCACAGGTGAGATCCTTTATCCAAAATGAAAGGGTCAGGAGAATTTCAGGTTTTCTTCTGTATCTGTATTTATGAATATGCATAAAATTGGATACCCTTGGAACTGGGCTCAAGTCCAAACATTTTCCCCCCCACTATTTGAAATAATTCCATGCCAGAAACAAAGCTGTATGGCGTGGGTGAGATTTCCTACTTGTCACATTGGCACTCAGAAAAGTTGGGATTTAGGGTATTTGGGGATTAGGGATGTTCCCCTTGTTTTCCTGCATCTTTCTGTCCTCCATCTTTATCTTGGTAGCAAGAGGACCTATCCTGAGCTTTCTCCTCTCCCTAGGTCTGGTGCTTACAAGACTGTTATTCTGCTGTCCCTCGACTGGTCCTTTTTCCTAATGGCCTCCTCAGAGAGGACTCTCCACCTCCCCTCTAGTCACTCCCCTATTGTTCTCTTTGTCATACTCTCCACCACTGCCCTGGCATACTGTAGCTCCTTGACAGTCTGGTCCACTAGTGTACGCCTGGGCCAGCCTTGTTTCCCCTTCCGTCTAGTTCTACCAGAGGCCTGTGCACTTGAGTATTTGAAATTCGTTCAACTTTGATGCATTTCCAGTTTGGTTATTAAAATGTTCAAATTTGATTTGGGTATTCAAATGCAATAAAATTCCATTCAAATTCTAATGTAGTTTGTTTGAATAATTCAGATATTTGAGTGCTGTAATCATTTGGTCTGTAAACATCTGGTACAGAGCCACAGGCTGGAGCTTGGAGGTCAGGCAGGGCTTGCATGTTTTGTCCTTAGCCCCGACCAATGCTTACTTTTAGGCAAGTGTGTAATGTTCCTGAGAGCAGGTGACTTATTTGCAGAACCCCCACCACAGGGCTGTTGGGAGGATTGTACAGATCACACGTAAGAAACATTCCACGTAGATCTGCCTTCCGTCCCGAATCTGTTCATCCTAAAATATTCATGACTGTGTGCAGCACAGTAGTCCCTTGGCTGACATTTTCTGAGGGTTTCAGAAAGGAAGGAGACCCTATTCCCAGGCAGAACAACACTCCTTGAGAAAAAAAGCCAAAACACAGAGTAAGTGATTTGTCCCTGCAAGTAACTCTAAGAAACTCTTGCTAATGCTAGAAGAGTATTGTTGCTGCACGTTGAACAAAAATTCCTAAAAGTTCCAAACCTCAGATGCACCAGACTCCAAAATTTTTGAGTGCCCATAATGATGCCACATACGGTAAATTCCATTCCTGATCCCATGTGAAAGACCACAGTTAAAATATTGGTGCATGCACTAATAATTGTGCATACATTTATTTCTGGGCTGTGTGTATAAGGCAGGAAAGCTAAATAAATTTTGTGTTTGAACTTGGGTCTCATCCTTATGGTATCTCATTATGTACATGCAAATATTTAAAATATAAAATCCCAAACATTTATGGATAAGAAATATTCAACAGAGCTGGGCAGTGGTGACACACGCCTTTAATCTGAGCACTCGGGAGGCAGAGACAGGCGGATCTCTGTAAGTTTGAGGCCAGCCTGGTCTACAGAGTGAGTTCTAGGACAGACTCCAAAGCTACACAGAGAAACTCTGTCTCTAAAAACAGAGAGAGAGAGAGAGAGAGAGAGAGAGAGAGAGAGAGAGAGAGAGAGAGAGAGAGTCAACTTGTACTTTCAGTAACAATAATTTTTACATTAATGATATTAGCTTTAGTATGGCTGATGTTTAATATTTAAGTTTATTCATTTAATTAATACTAGGTTTATTGCTTTGGTGTGTATGTTAAATTATTTAATAGTAGTATTAATAGTAACAATATTATACAGAACAAAAACTTCCTGAGCCTTTTAATTCAATAGTTCAATAGTGCTAAAGAATTTTTTTTTTTTTTAAGATTTATTTATTTATTATGTATACAGTGTTCTGCCTGCATGTATGTCTACAGGCCAGAAGAGGGCACCAGATCTCATGACAGATGGTTGTGAGCCACCATGTGGTTGCTGGGAATTGAACTCAGGACCTCTGGAAGAGCAGTCCTTGCTCTTAACCTCTGAGCCATCTCTCCAGCCCAAGAATTTTATTTGTAGAAATGTCATTCCCATTTTTGTATTTTATCATGTGCAACTTTCTCATCATGTGCAAATGATGAGTAGTGGACAAATATACTGTCCCACTTCTCTGTGATGTTTTTCTCCAAAGTAAGCCAATGCCACTTTGAAAATAAATGGTATTATACATCCATAAGTCCATTCAAGCTAGGGATGACCAAGCAAACGGAAGTTCACAGGATGATATAAAGGAGCTATTTCAGACACAGTGTCCATGGATGGATGTCCTTCTGTTCCAGTATTTCAAGAGTCTGGGCTTTGTGTTTCTGAACAAAAGCTTGAATGGTTTTAGGGCTGCTCAGATTCAGAAGCAGTGCTTTTTTTTTTTTTTTTTAAATAGCTTATCTTGATTGCCAAAGTCAAGATCACAGTTCTGAAATCCACAGGAGAAGTCTCAGTTCTAGTCTGGCTCTGTGGCCGTGCTTAAATGACTCTGTTTAAGGTCTTCTCTTTCTTGCTGGTCAGATTTATGATGTGCCCAATAGTTACACGTTGCTTTGTAGACAAGTCATTTCTTGCTACAGCTAGAGCCACAGCAACCCAGTGGATGCACAGGAGCAGCCTCGACTAAGGGGCTGGACCAGCTGCAGAAAGGCCCTCACATTCAGTGCCCTCCAGGTGCCTCAGGGGAATGGTTGTCACATACTCTTGGTGGCTTTGCCATAATCACCCCACCAACTCAATAAAGCATTGATATTTTACAAAACGTGGGCAAGAGGGGACACAGATGTGATGAATATGTGCCTCTGGGAAATATTTTCTGAAGTATTGAGTTCTCATTTGATCCATGCTAGCTAATTGGACCCACTGGACCCACAGTACTAGTGGTCTCTCCGTGCTTCCGGGCTCACCCTTTTGATCCATCCAGAGGGGAGGAATACCTCAATAGGTACTCCTGGTACTTTACATATATTTCTTCTTTGTCCTCTCAAAGCCAGGGATGGGTGCTGTTAGCCTTGTTTTACCCCTGAGAAAGCAGAGCTTCAAAGGATTCTGTCCAACAGGATCACATAGCAGTCCGGTGGGGCTGGGTGCTGAGCCCGACCCCAGATCTGAGTTGCACCGAAGCCCTTTTCTGCCCTCCCAGCTTCCGCGCTACACTGAGTCAGCTTTCAAGTTTAGATGGAAGAGAGTGTTGAATATATTTTAAGAAAAGCACAGAAAACCAAACAGTCTTAGAAGTCCTGATCACTGTTACATGAACCAAGTGACTGAAGAAACCCAGTTTCCTTATGGAACCCAAAAAGCCAAAACCTTCAAGTAAGACCAAAGCATTAGCTGGCCTACTTCTCTCTTCCTGACTCTGTGTTTGAAATCCTTTCATTTCATTTTATTTTATGAGTGTTTTGCCTGAATATGTATGCCTATGCATGCCTGGTACCTGTGGAGATAACAAGAAGGCGTCAGATTCCATGGAAATAAAGTTATGGATGGTTGTGAGCCACCATGTGGATGCTGGGAACTGAACCCAGGTCCTCTGTAGGAGCAACAAGTGCTCTTAATGGCCGAGCTGTCTCTCCAGCCCCCACTCTTTCTGACTTTTTGCCATCACTTACAGAGTCTCTGCCAATGTTGGACACAGTCCATATGCTGTGCACAGAGCAGCTCCCAGAGTTGTCCTAACTGCACCAGGAGGGGATTCGCTTGTCATTCTGAGTTGACGGAAAAGTTGACTGTGTCCTAGCCCAGTCTCACAGGAACGGGAGAAGCTGAGGGCTGGGCCCCAGTACTGTGGCCTTTCTCCCATGTGAGACAGCCTTGTCTTACCCTCCCAGCCCCTCCAGCCTCATGGTGGACAAGCAGGACAGAACAGCACCTCCACCCAAAGTGTGTTCTCTGCGTGCTGTGCTGATGCCAACTGGCCTCAGTCGTCAGAAGAGCACTTCCTGTGGAAGGCAATGTTCCCTACTCTACAAGCTTTACAGCCAACGTTCTGTCCCCTGCTGTCCACAAAGCCCGAGGTGAGGGCATAGTGTCACAGATTGGGCTGGATCCACTGAAAGAAGCATCATTGACTGATGTAACAAAATTGTAACATATGTGCACGTGTATACACGCAAGGAAAGGGGCCACTATTCCAACTCCCTTTCCTCTTGGGCAGGTGGCTTCTCTCTGAGGATGTGGTCAGTGAAGGGCTTCTGTCCCCCCCACTGACAGCTAGCCGGGTGGATGCTTAAGGTGTTTTGCCCGGCTGCCCATCTTTGTACTGCCATCCAGACAACAAGGTGGTTAGACGGGATGATTTGTAGCATGCATCCTAAATGTATGGCTTATGGTCTCATTAGCTCCCTTTGCTCTCAGAATCCAGGCAGAAGAGTGTCTCCGGAAGGCAAGCTAAGAGTGGTTACATTTTCCTTAGGAATCAATACGTAGCGCCTGAAACTTATTTTTTAAATTTAATTTGTATTGCATTTATCGTGTGTGCATATGTGTGTATGAGTGTGAGTGTGTATGTGTGTGTGTATCATAACACACAATGCATATGTGGAAGACAACTTGAAAGGGTCAGTTTTTATTTTCCACCATGTGGGTCCTGGGAAGTCAAAGTTGGCAGCAAGTACCTTTTCCTGATGTACAGTCTGGCAGCCAATGAGAATTTCCTAATGCAGAGATGATGAGGACCAGCAGCTTGCTTACAGCTTGTACTTGAGGGCAAAGACTTCCTTAGTGTATGATACTGCTCCGACCCACCCACAAGACTTCCTCAGTGATGCTTAGGAGGGAGACTTGCCTATGTGATCTCTTTAAGCGGGTGACAGTGGTGTGGTCCAATAATAGTTGGCAGCTGGCTTGGGCTTCCTTTTGCAATCCTTCTCAGAGCCTGAAGTCAACTTCTTGACTTGAAACAAGTTATTGCTCCTAAATTATTGTTACTGTGGTTTTTTTCTTTCAACAGACGCTTAAATAAAATTGTCTGGCGAGCTCTGTCTCAAGAGGAAAAAGAGAAGTAAGTCATTCCATTCCTATCTCCCTTTTGCAACGCCAAGGAAATTCACCTAACCAAAATCAGCTATTTGAACTGTATGTTCCAGTGGTATTTGGAGTGTGTAACACCCCCAGACACTCATCACCCCAGAAAAAGACTACTACTTACCCATAAAGCAAATATTCCCCATTACTCCCTTCTCTATCCGCCGATGACTTCAGTCTGCTTCATGTTTCCATGAATCTGTCTGTCTGGATATACCATGTGAAAGAGAGCACACACGTGACACTTCTGTTTCTGTCTTCTGTTATTTAATGGGAAAATCCAATATTTGCAAAGCTCATGAAAATTGTAACACATATGCACATGTACACATACACATGTGCATGTACTAAGGAAGTTATGTTACACACACACACACACACACACACACACACACACACACACACCACTGATTATCTACTCCCACTGATGAACATTTCAGTTGTTTCTGCTTTTTTTCGGCTGTTATGAATAATGCTGCTACGCTCACGTGAGTGGACGTTTCAGGATGAACACGCTTTTATTTCTCTGACATATATAGTGAGGAGTTGGTTTATCACAGAGTAATTCTATGCTTCAGCGTTTGAGGAGGCTCCAGGCTTGCCGCCACACCACTTCACATCCCTGCCATCTCTGTGCGAGCATTCCCATTCTCACTTTCCCGTGTCCTCACCGTTGGCTGCTGGATGGGAGTGATGGTGGTTGCCCATAATCCTAGTGCTGGGGAGACTCATGAGTTTGCGACCAGCCTGGGCTACGTAAGGAGATTTTTGTCTCAAAGCAAAAAACAAAAACAACAACAAAAAACCCAAACTACTGGGTATGATAGTGTGTTACTTAACTCCAGCTGTACATGCTGATAGATGTGTTCTTAAGCTGTTTGCCCCCATGTGAATGTAACCTAAGATGGCTGTATCACCAGCTGATGTCACTGAGGGACCTCCATCATATCGCAACATGGCTCCGAACAGTGCCAGGCTCATTTTCCATCTGTTTCAAGGACAGTTTCTAATTATAACTAATCTTTGAAAAACCGGAAGCTTCGGGGGCTGGAGAGGTGGACTTGAAGGTGCAGCTGGCTCTGGCGTCTGATGTCTGTGTCCACAGATGATTCTCGGGAGTTTTACTGAGAAACAATACACTTTTTTGTCTTACTACACGTATCTTCTTTTCATTTTGTGGGCTCCTTTCTTTGTGTCTCAGGTTGGATGCAATCAAGCCCATGCAATACTTGGAACACAAGGCAGTTTTAAACAAAGCCCTGGAACGGCTGAATTGGCCCATTTCGTTGAAAGAGCTGTCGATGCTGGAGAATGAAATCTTGGTTGGGAAAATGTACATCCAGCAAGCTATGGAGCTCCAGGAGGCCGCCAGGAAGAACTGCGTGAGCAAGGCCTTGGAGGAGGTGGGTTCCACAGAGTTCTCGGTACCCCGACCCTCCCTGCTCTGGCCATCTCTTACTCCCACCCACCGCATACTGATTTCTAGGAGAGTTAAAGGAAACACCACTTGATTTTTAGCATCTTATTTTTAGGGTAAACTATCTTTCAATTGAAAAACAAAACTGAATTGTAGCATTTTATCCTGAGGAGATGCCTGAACTTTGTTCCAAGCCAGACAGAGCACTCGCCTGAGAATTTTTTTTTGTGTGTGTGTGTGTGTGTGTGTGCTACTTAATCTTTATGCTGTCTTGGATAGTTTTTCACACTTCTTTCAATGTTCATATTTTTATATCTGAAATAAGAGTATTAAAAGCCTTCTGGGTTGTTTTTAGATAAAAGGGGCATTTATGATTTTAGTATTGAAAGCCCACAAAAATGCCATCAGTTTTTAAAGTAAACAAACCTAAAAAGAAAACCAACTCATCACCCAGTTAGCACCATTTGGAGTGCTTCCTATTGGTCTTTTTCCCCTCCTTAAATAAATCTTTTTTTTTTCTTTCTCTTGGCATAGTCAGGATGTCTGTAGTATTTTATAGTCTGCCTTGAACTTAGCATTATTTCATATACTCTGTATTTTCGCCAACTCTTCAGACTGACGTCATTGGTGGGTAGATACAGGATGTGTTTAACTCTTCACTGAGCTGTCTGTCTCGTTCTGGTTTGTCTGTTTGTTTTGTTTCTTCCTCTTCCTCTTTCATTTCCATGAAATGAAACTAAGCGGTGCACACAGTGACTTTGTGAGCATACCGTCTTAGGAGTGGCATTTGAGGACCACGAGGCACAAAAACTGGTGCTATTAAATAGCTGTGCTGGAACACAGCATGCCTCTCTGACTGCACGTAGGTTCTTGTAGCTGTGGGGTAGTCCATCCAGAACCCCAAGGACTAGATAGTTGCCAGGGAGCCATCAAAGGTCTGGAAACCGTTCCGAGACAACTGACGCACAGGGTTTCTTGGCTAGCATCAGCATCTGTGAAATGAGGCAGGGTTTGCCTGGTTTTAATTACCATAGACACTATTTTAGATTCTTGTTTTTGTTTTTCATTACTCATATTTATGTGTATCTGCATGTGGGTTTGTGCATGTGTGTGTGGTACCCAACATGGGTGCCGGGTACTGAACTCAGGTCCTCTGCAAAAGCAATCTGCTCTCTCAACTGCTGAGCCGTCTCTCCAGCTCCTTCACTTCCGTTGTTTTTCTTTATTTTTTTTCCTCCCCAAATTACACGTCCCCCCTCGGTGTAAGAAGCTGTACCTTCTGTACAGAATACAAAAATCTTTTCAGGAAGCATTAGATGTCTATTAACGTTTTTCAAAGAAACTTCTTCAGAAGTATTCACTGCATCCTTGTAAGGCACCCTCTGGCTACCAGCATTTCTCCATTGACAGGCAGGTGCCAAAGGACACCTAAGAATCCAGAGGACAAAACAAGAATTACCTACTTTTCTCTGAAAATATGTTCTTCTTCTACCTCTTCCTGCCTTCTCTACCTTCCATTTACTAACTAAAGTATTTATGAGTATCTCCAAAGTGCCAAGTGTGATGGTAGACACCAGTAATGCCTAGAACACAGACTAAGTCCTGCCCTCATTTGGGTGGGGAGAGCGAGAATTATTGGACCCCAGCAATGGATTTTCTCATTCCAACTGTGGAGGCTCCACTGCCTAACAGTGGAATTTGATAGCTCTTTATTTATGCTTTATATTAAATTTTCAATAGGAAATGTTGTGAATGGAGTGAGAAGAAGCCTCTTATGAACTAGGACAAAGTATGCTAATGAGCTTGCCTGTGAAACTGACAGCCAAAGGCTCATTGTTTATAGGCTATGAGTTAATTGGACTAACCGTTCTATTTCTTCATCCCCTTTCCATAAACTGAATTTCGATAATTTCTTCATTCAGAAATGCTTGTTAACTCGCTGTGAATGGGAGTGTGCTTGCTTGGCACAGGTAGTCACAGGCCTCCCAAAGCGGTACTGTGTAATGACAAAAATGAGGATTTAGGAGAAGATAATTCAGTTTGCTTAATTCTTAAGTGCCTCCAGGGCATCCAGTGGAGACAAGACAGTAATCAAATGCTGGGGGCTCGGGAGAAAGTCTGAACTGCAGACAGATTTGGAATCATCTATGTTACCAAGATGGGGCAGGGGAGACCACTGAAGGGACCACGCCAGGCAAGTTAGAGAAACACGAGGTTCAGTTCAAAGAGCTGCAGTGTGACAGCGAAGCGGAGGAGGTTCAAAGCCCCGGCAGTCAGGCAGACCCAGCTGTTATGTTGCTGTAGCCAAGCCTCTCTAAGCCTTAGAGTTTCCTTGAATTCAAACCTGAAAAATCAAAGTACCAACCTACGAAACCCGTAAGTCCTTCAGACGGTAGGCGGTACTAAGTGTCAACAGGAAACTTATTCAGCACGTCCTAACCTTTATGTTTCTTCCATTATTCAAATTATTGCCGGGCGGTGGTGGCGCCCGCCTTTAATCCCAGCACTCGGGAGGCAGAGCCAGGCAGATCTCTGTGAGTTCGAGGCCAGCCTGGTCTACAGAGCAAGTTCCAGGAAAGGTGCCAAAGCTACACAGAGAAACCCTGTCTCGAAAAACCAAAATAAATAAATAAATAAATAAATAAATAAATAATAAATAAATAAATAAAATTATTATCACTGGGCCAGGCATGGTGGCTGATGCCTTTAGTCTCAGCACCCAGGAGGCAGAGGTAGGCAGATAACTGTGAGTTCAAGGCCAGCCTAGTCTACTTGGTAAGTCCTAGGCAAGCCAGGGCTCACATACTGAAACTGTGGTGGTTTGAATAAGAATGGCCCCCAAAGGCCCATATATTGGAATGCTCAGTCACCTTAGTATGTGTGCCTTGTTGGAGGAAGTGGGTCACTGGGGATGATGGGCTTCAAGGTTTCAAAAGCCCGTGCCAGGCCCAGTGTTTCTCTCTCTTTCTTTCTGCCTGCGGATCAGGATGTAGCTCTCAGCTAATGCTCCACTGCCATGCTCCTCACCATGATGGTAATGGACTCAGCCTCTAAAACTATAAGCAAGCCCCCCAATTAAATGGCTTTTTAATTAAAATTAAATTAATTTTATTAAAATTAAACTTAAAGGCCCCTAAGACATTAAGAATAAATTTCTCTTATAAGATTTGCCTTGGTCATGGTGTCTCTTCACAGCAACAGAACAATGACTAAGACAGAAATCCTGTCTAAAACATGTGTATGTATGTATGTATGTATGTATGTATGTATACATGCATGCATGCATGCATGCACGTTCAGTGAGTGTTTTAAACATCATACAGAATGGCGTCTGAAAGCCATTCCACTTAGCAAGAAGCAGCTTGTTAGTGACAATATCCAAGAGAGTGTCAAGGGAATTGTGGGAGCAAAAGCCTGTTTGCAATGAGCAGAAGGGTGAAGAGAAGTCAAGGAAGCCAGTATAGGAAGCAGAGGCTGTAGTCCACAGATCTTCATCGGGAAGACAAGGAGAAAATGACGGCCAGAACTTGAGGCGTAGGCAGGTGTGCGGGAAGACATTTAGTTTGTATAATATGTCATGGATCCACTTCTCTCTCCTGCAGCATTCGTAACTAAGCCTTCCATTTCATTGATTTGTCTTCACACAGGTTTCCAAAGCCCGTTCTCTCTGGTGGAGGGCTCCCACATGCCCAGCACAATCACCCTAAAGAAATCAACAGGGGGGTATCCTGACGTCCTGTTTCCACAGGTTCTTCCATTTTTATCATGACCTGCTGCAATGGAAGATTCTGTACACTGTTTCCTTAAAACAATACTTATTATTACATATGATATTTCTGAGACTGTTTTGATTCTATTTTTATCATGCCCACTAATTGGATGGCATAGTCCACTAGTAGGCCAAGGTCCAGGGAGAGGCACTTTGGGGGAAGCAAAGCTCCAGATAGCAAAGGCCAGGTTACAGGCCCTTTAAGACCTGAAGCGAACAAAATCCATAACCCACTCAGGTCATTTTGCCCTCTTCGTACATATGTATAGTCTCATTTTAAATTCTTTTAGCAAAGGGCAGTGACTTGGAACAATGATTCTAAGTTAGAGAAGAAAAAATTTTCAACTCCTAAGACCCCCTGAATTTACTGATAATGTGTCGCAATAATGACCAAAGTTCCTTCCCATGGGATCTATGAGAAATGTCCACATGTATTCCGAAGTCAGTCTGCTTGGTCCAACTAGAGTGCGGGGTGGAGTGTGGAGACCTAAGGCTTTTCCGTACCCTCTGCTGCGATGATGCTGTCATTCACTGCAGTGCCCCTCTGGTTCTTGAGCTTGGGATAGCATCGTAACTTTTCTGATGGTGAGGTAAGGAGATGAGGTATAAACACCCTGACCAGGGAGCCTGGCCCTGCTTTTGACCCTCAGGCTCCCATCTCATCTGGATAGCTGCAGAGGAGACAGAAGCTGAGAATCACCGTTCTTACTGCTCTGCCGAGCATCCTGCTCACTCTGTGCTTGAATGCCTAATGATTTCCCCCCGAGATCATAATCCACCAGTTTTATGACATCCCCAGAGACTGGTGCTTGGCTCGCTGACCATGTAATGAAAAAAGAAACCTGAAGTCTGAAATTCTCAAAACTCCCCTCAGGACCACCACCTTGTTGCCATAACTACAGATTTCACTCTCCCTTGCTAAGCTTGCACCCCCAAAGCTGAGCTGTGAAGGGCGTCTGTAAATGATTGCTGACTTTCTGCAGGCTCCATGGGAGCCTGCTCTAGGAAGTTCAGAGTACAGTTCTGAGATTTTCCTAAGAAATGCAGATTGTTCCCATAGCAAATCCTACAGAATCCACAACTAGAAAGATCCAAAGCCCTCTTTAATCCCCATGGCCTTGACCACCTGGGGTGACTCAGAGGCATGACATCTTTTGAAAGCTGTGAGAACCTGTCATCAGCACTCCTGACAAAACATGGGGCATGTGCCCACACAG